CCCAGTATAACCACTGACATTTCCCAAAGCTCCAAAGCTCTGTCCTAATGAAGTAAAACAAAAAACTAATTTCTGGTTGTGTGTTTTGTGGCTTGGTTACTGTCAGGGTAAGGTCATGGTTAAGGTTTAGGATAAGGTCTCGGTACTGTCTACAAAGAATGGAAGTAAATGTAAAGTCCTAACAAGGATAGCTGTGCAAACTTTTTTGTCATTTAACAAGAAACAAGGATCAAATAACCATGAAATTCATGGTATACATCACATGTACAGAATAATACATAAAAAACTATGCAATACATCATATTGTACATGTCATATGGAACACATATGAATCATACTGAGGGTGCAACTCTTCAGGATATCAAGATACTGTAGCATAAGGGCCCTTTCATACACCTTTCAAAAACAATTGTGTGATTTCCTTCAACCATTTAATCGCTGATATATCTCCATTGGTTTGCTATTGGCACTACCCTGCATCTAATGATTAGTGCTATTCTGCCCATAGCTGTGCAAACTTTTGTGTGTGTGTCAAAAAATCTATTGAAACTTAATTTCAGACATATCACTGTCAGGCGATGGTGGATTAGCACAAAGCTGTTCTGTTCTCCGTTGCCTGGCGTTGCCTTTTAGTCTCTTTTTATGACAATGTGCCAGAGCAGAACAGAGCCGAAACTGGACTGAAGAGGACTCATGTGTCACGCCGTAGAAACACTTGTAAGAGAGATACGCATTGTGCGACAGGACTTGTGCCAACGCTCAGGCTCTTGAACCTATTCAGTCTCTGATTTCCCCCCAAGGTGCCTGAGGGTTGGCAGCTGTCTCTGATGCTTCTCATGTTGTACGTGCAACCAGGCCATTCCTGCGTCCATTCACCCTGCATACACGGCGGCTGCCTGCTGATCTGAATGTGACGCTGCGTGCAGTAGCTGGAACAGTATCACTGAGTCTGTTAGAGTTACACACAGACTCAGTCGGGCTCCCGAGGTTGGAAAAAGCTCCACGTACACCACATTGTCTGAGCGGAGACTTTGCAGCTGTTGCTGAGTTGAGGGTGTGTGGGAGAGGCATGGGATCACCACATCTCCACTAATCCTCATAATCAGCTCATGGCCTGCTTAGTCAAAACAGGAGTGACAAAACCCAGGGCCCTCAACATGTAGTAGGCTGAATGCCCCCCCCCCCCGCTGCAGGAATGACAGGAACATGTAAATGGTTAAATTCCAGAATTCAACGTTGAGTCCATCACACAGACGATGGTTGAGGTTCTTTTTTTTTTTAAATATCACCTGCAAAGGAATGATTGTTTCATTTCCCTGCAAACAAGCATCTTGAGGTTTACCTTAAACATATTTGAGGAACTAAATATTTCATATTTCAAGCAAACAAGTGACACTCATACCAGTAAGCTCTTTTCTGCTCCCAGTGACAAAATTAGACCCTTCTGGTCTGTCTCTCTGTCCTGCCAGCTCCCACAGTAAACTGCCAGACGTGGTTAGTCTACTGAAGTTGAAGGAGCAAACATAGGCCATGCGGCTGGAAATGCTATTTATGTATATGTCTGTCTTTTGGATTCTCCACCAGTCAATATGTACCCCTTATTGATAATGAGATTTCCTCATTGCCAGGAGACTCGTGCTATGAAACGTGGTGTGCTGAGTAGAGGGTGGGGTTGACATCAGCTGCTTAATAATTTTACAGCAGAGCTCAGTGTCTGTGTGTGTTTGGTGGGAAACTGTAGTAAAACAGGTTTTTAGTAATGGAAATTCTCTGTTAATTGTAGTCCCAGTATTTTTTTTTCGTCATAATTTAGTATGTATACCAGTAGTCTGTAGTCGTACCCAGCTTTTTGGGTTTGTGACTTCTTATGACTTTTGGCAGAAATATATAATAATAAAATAATCCTAGTGATGTTTTCACTGGTGTGTTTCATCTAAATTGTATGAATTGTTGTTTTCTTTACCATAAAATGGGCTCTTTATATTTAAAAACTTCATATTTACATGGGGGGGGTCCTCTCTGTGGAGGCCACCATGTTTTTTACTGTCGTAGAAACTGGACAAACTAAAACCTTTTGAGTTTTCATGACAACTGAAGTTCACCACAGGTTCTTTCATGTTTAGAAGGGGAGGGTGAGATAAGGAGTATTCAGCTTCAACATGACACTTCACCACTAGAACACTTCAACACTAATTTCTACACACTGAACCTTTAAAGGCCAGGTGAGCTAAAGAGTGATCATTTTTTAATTTGTAGAGGCCAGAGACAAACCTTTGGCTCCAGAAGTCTTCTGATTTCTGTTTCTTGACCAAACACGTTTAGGCACGCTTTGGTTGGGCGGGCAAACAGTCCACATGGAGAAAAAAAGAGGTGGAATTGACCAAAATGGCTATTGGCTATCATCTTTTTAATTGATCAGAATACAGCAAGTCAGCTGTGAACAGTTATTAGCCTAAATGTTGTCTGGCTATAGACTTAAAACAGTATTGCTGTGTTTTGTTTGGAGAAACATTTGACTTGTGTGGACTTGTTGGACTGTGAAACATGCACACCTTGGCTCGGATATCAGCTGTCTGCACTGAAAGCTCCAAAGTATTGATTGTCACCCCTAGATGTTAATTGCAAATCTCCCCACTGTGGAACTAATAAAGGGCTTCTTAACTCTTTTGTTCATATATGTCATCAGACAATAGCTGATGGGTTCAGAAAGTGGTCGACCAATGTCATGAAAAATCAAGGTTATCTTGCGGCTTAACCTTAGATTTATCCTGCAACCTCTTTTGGAGGTCTCAACACTAAACATTAGACACAAGTGCTATTTAAACTTAATTTACTTTGGAAGGACCTAATAATGTGTTAGCACATGGCAACAGTGCAGAGTACACAGCAACAAACAAGGAGTCACTGGTGTTTCAGACATGAAGCTCACAGCTGAGTGTACAAATTATGCATCACCCAGGACATCATCAAGTACCACAGTCATTAAGTATCTGCATATGTTTGTGTAGTGTTATGCATCAATTCATCATTGCTGAATCAATATTGCTGAGTGAACCTCGTAATGAAGGTCAGGAACTGTGACTGAAATCAATCTGATTCTTGTCATTTTGTGTAAATAGTAAAATCACGTGAGAGCTTAGTTTAGCTGATCAATATGGCAGCTGATAGAATCCATCCACAGTTATAGGTGCGCTCTGTTAATATGTACTGTTATTATTCATTCTCCAGAACTCCTCCTGGTCACATGAACACACAACATAACTATTGACTGGAGGTGGAAGCACCTGGGTTTCCTCTTGGAACAATGGCGACCTCCTGGTCACCTCATCACCAGGGCCAACATGCTATAACTGGCATCCACCGGTTATTTTGTCACATTGCTCGACTCTCTTTGTCCTTTTCATTGTATTTTTGGTACCTCCTGTGCATATTAACCACATACTAAATACAGTATAGTGGATGTGTCCACAGCTGTGAGTATCATCCCTCAGTTTCTTTGTGCTCCAGTTTCAAAGGGCTTTGGAAATCACTAGAGTACCTGTTGCCTCCTGCCCATTTCATAACGCTCCCCACCTCGTAACAAAACCGCTGGAATGCTGTACACACAGTACCTCACCTCCACTGCCATGGTTGTGACTGCGTGTATGAAAATGCAAGTGAAATCTTGCATCAACACAACCACCTGTCATTAGTCAGTGTTTCCAAGAAGATACAATGCAGGAGCTGGAGTTGGGGTCAGCTGCACAGCCCAGAATTCAGCTCAGAAAGGAAAGAATCCTGCAATATTAAGGAAATCAGTGGAGGATAAGAATTGTAAGCCTCTTTGGTATGAGATTATGAAATTCTTTTTTCGGTGTCTCCTGTAAAATACAACATTTTCCTCAGATGAAACCAGATATGGGAAAAACTTTTTGTTTGAAAAGATTTTGTCGGACAGAGGATGAAGAAGAAAAAGAGGAAGATGGTGAGCCTCAGCGACGGCTCTCGTGTTTGTGAGGACATGACGTTACACAGGTGTTTCCTTTACATCATCTCCAGTAGCAAAACAAGACTTAAGTCTGACCATCTGTATCTCACACATGTTTTTGTGTTCATGGAGCAGGGTTTTTTTCACATCTTGCCATGTGTACACCACATTTCCGTTACAGTGGAGCTTCATAGGCAGAGAGCTTATATTTAAC